AACTTCCCTAAAGACAAACAAAACCGAACACTGTGGGGCTGTGATCCGGATTTACGAAAAATCTGAATCAGCTTTGATAAGGTCAGTGGTGCTTAAAGTAAGCGGTATTAGTCCATATTCAAAGGTAATGTACATGATCAACAACACCGATGGAGCTGAAATGAACAAAAATCTATTGGATTGGAAAACCAGTCCTACCATGGCAATCAGAGGACGAGAAGTATGATGACGGATGATAAAGCTATTAGTAATATGAGGTTGATTTACAGCAACCTATATGTCAAACAATTTTAGCATGGGCATATTATTTATATGACATGCGTAGTTGTCTTATGTTGAGACCTCATTGGCGGCACCATTAAAGAATCGTAAAGAAATTGAAAATCTTCCCTCAGTCAAAGGATTGGTCATCAAGCCGATGTGGCTATTTGACATCTTTTACTGACATGAATACTCTATGATGAGAGATCGGACACGGATCCCGTTCGTGTACTACAATCGTTTATAATATCAAAGATTTGTTACGCTTTTCGGTATGAAGTACAGAACAAGACAATTTCTGGTAGTGCTGGTACCTCAGTATCAATGATTCCCGGTAAATTCCAGTTTATTTGTTAGAAGTGTCGTTGAACAAATGCTTTTTGCTTCATGCGTTGTATCGCTACTTTGTACTATACTAACCTTCATGTGGGTAGCAAGAGCTCGGCCTGCAGAGATCAACTGGTGTCGCGTGCTACATGATCTAATGATTACCCAAATTGTGACTTCCCGGTAAGGTATTCAAGCATGAGCTTAGTCTGATACTGTCAATATCTTGCTCTGGTTGTAGGACGCAACCAAATTAATTGAACGTCGTTTCACTTTTCAGCTGAACACATCATGACATATGCTGCGAGCAACAAGTCAAGTCAAAATAAGCTTTATGTACCCGACTGAGCACATTTTCAACACTTTGTACACTAACACTGCAGATAAAAATGTACGGGAACAAAAAGTCTACTTAAACAACTGGCAAATGGTGAAAAAGCAAACTCACTCAAGCAAACTTTCATCTGTGGCACAGTGATTTTCTTAGAGTTCACTAGAAGACGCGATAAAGAAGGCAAAACCGGGTTGTGATAAGAAGCGGTGCGAGAATGCAGTTCCTTCGATTTTGAGCCTGTAGATGAGAAGGAACGAGTTTTCGATAACTCATCGTAGAGTAGATAATACGAATCATTTAAAATCTGTGAAGAAAATCTGTGGTATGAATCAAGATGCCTGGTAACTGAAGTCTACAGGAGACTCTCGGGTAATCTACGGCATGTAGAGATAAGCTTACTTGAACGAAGAATAATTATAAAATCGTTTTGAAGAAGACTAGTGAAAATAACAAGCGAGCAGTACAACCAATGCGGGAGAATACAGGTAGCTACGAATTTGTATATTTAATAACGTAGTACTGAAAGCATCTTGAGCCGCAGGGCATAAAATGATATTTACCTTGCTTTGCCACACGTGTTGTCGATGTGTGTAGACCAGGTTAAATTTTGGGATAAAATTACCCCAAGATACCTAACAGTAAGCGAACTAGGTATAATGCATTCATTAACAACAATGGGGCTTGAAGCACTCTCAGCGTGGTAGAGAGAAAATATTAAATCGCGGCACTCTGAAGCATGGAGGACAAGGGATCGGGAAGATGAGCACTGTTCAAGCTTGTCTAACTCTTTTTGGAGCGCTGAGAATGACTTGTTTGTCGTAGAGACGCTGACTAAAACAACATCGTCGGCGTAGTTACATCCAATAAAACATGATAGAATAGGAAGTCTCTCAATATGCAAAGAAAACATAAGGGAAGGTTGCCCCTGTAAAAGACCCTAATCGTTACCAAGAGTGAAGAATTGCTTACAGTTCAATTGAAAGAATTATGAACGATATGTAAAATATTTTTCAGTTAGATTACGCACCGCAGGTTGGACGCCGTTTATGAGTAGTAGGTTTCGAAGCAGGGACTCCTCGACACTCCCAAAAGCGTTTGAATGATTCCAGGAAAAGCAGAAATACTGCCTTACATGTAGCATCTAAATCAGATGCTATTGTGTGAACGAGATAAGCCACTGAATCCAACCTTGAGTGTTTGGGTTTATAAGCAAACTGAGAGGCAGCACTAGCTTGGGTACTTGTATAAATGAAAGTAATAAGCAGATGTACAGAGTAGATGTACAAGTAGTGGGACGGACTTTCTGAGCTTCTTTATGGGGGACTGGCGTTATCCCGACGGGCGTCCAAGTGTCGGAAATAGTGTCACTGTGTAGGCAACATTTGAAGAGCTCTATTTAAGGTAAGGTGAGGGAGTCGGCGCACTCATTCAGTGCAGTTGATGAGAATGCATCAGGTCCTCCGGCCTTCCTCACATTCAGCCTCTTGGGTTCCTGGCAGACCTCGAAGTGTTGGAATGCAAATGTTGGAGCAGCCGCGGATGGTGATAACGAGTGAAATGGAGGCAGAGATTTTTAGGAGCAGATCGGATTTCAGAGTTTAGTTTATCGACATCTACAACCCCTAGATGGGTACTGGAGCCCTTACCAGACAGTTGTTTCAAAATCTGCCACAAATCACGGCAAATGTCATTGAATAAAATGGCCTCAATATGCAGGCCATTCAGTCGTATAATCAGTTTTATGACTGAACAATGTAATTTGACACGATCGGACAGTTTACATTTGTATGCACATTGCTTCTTCCTTCGAAATTGTTTCAGTGATGGGAGGAGAACCGGTCTGCTCTCAAATAAATGATTTCATCTGGACAGCAAAGGTCGAAGCATAAATTGAGATAGTCGCCTAGATGCTTACATTGAACAGATAAATTGTCGTTGTTAAAAACGGTAACATCAATGGAGGACTAAGTTGTTTGAAGTCTCACGATGTTGGACATGGAACAGTCTTTTCGCCTGATAGTTTCAAATGGTATATAAGCCAAATAAACGGAGTTTGTCTTAGTGTAAGTAATAAGGCATACCTTTATGGTGCAATAGTCAGTGTTGCCGAGCGGAGCACTTTTATGCTTGGAAAACAGTCAAGCTTGGTTTATGAAGAAAAGATTTCATTTTGCTTATAGTTTAGTTAAAAAAGCCACTATGTTTTCCAGATCAAGTGCCTAAATAAAATTAGTGTCACATTTATTGAAATCTCCAGTCATCACGCAAACAGCGTTCGAGTTTCATGAATAACATCGTGGATAACTCATTACCTAGTTTGTTCGGGTTGGACGATGGTGTGTCAGGCGAAATGTTTACGTTTTCGACGACAACAGAACTAAAACCGCACAGGAACCGTGGCTTACATTCAATCAAATGACAGCTAACAGTGATTGTTATGTACGTGAACAGTAAGGCTGCCGAATTGCACCAGCGTTGGTTGATGTAAGTAATTCCACCGCCTCCACGATTCTGGGGTTATACTGGGCGATCGGACCTGACGGAACGAAAGTACGTAAGTCAACTCATTTCGTCTTGTATATCAGAATGCACCCAACTTTTCTGTAACATCATAACGGCGGCATGTGACTAGTCACTTCGACGCAAGATTGAGGTAAGATCCACAAGTTTTTTCTAGTAATGATCGAACATTGCTGGAAAGGATCATTGGTAATTGTGTCCGGTTCACTGAATGACGTCTTAGACTGACTTGCCAACCAGCTCGGTGCTTTCTCATTCTTCCAGGTTACTTTTTCATAATTATTTAACATCGTTCTTGACTTTATGGGAATATTCAACAAATTTCGAGAAAAAGACGGTGTCGCGAAGTCTATTAAAAGTCGGCAGAATAGGATCTTGGGGTCATCACCATTGATCCAGATAAACAAATTGCAAAACAATCTATCCGAAATTGACAATTCCGCAGTAACTGGTGTAAATATGAATTTACAACAGTAACGGCCAATTTGAAGGTCCAGCCACGAAGGTGTCATGATATGCCACCAAGTACAAATGGAGTACACAAACTGGGTATCATTTTGTCAAGTTGAAGCTAGTGCATTCCTGTCGCCCACTGCAACAGGTGAATACCCCCAACTGTCTTTTCCATACTGATACCACATACGGAACTGGTATCCCAATTATCTGAAAATACCCACGAACTGCGGAAAATGGCAACAATTGTCCGGTGATTGCTAACGTTAACAATTAGTAGGGCGTTAGTGCGGAAATCCTATCAGAAGTCTCAGATTCTCTGGAATGTTGTGCTTGTGCGCATGTGGTTTCCGCACCGTAGATTAACGCTGGTGACGTTTTGCTCAAGTAACTGTTGAGCGTTAATATCAATTGACATCAAGAAGAGAGGATGAGCCGATCAATCTGAATAAATATTGCAAGGCGTAGTAGGATTGCGCGTGGGCGTATGCTCGCCTACTTTCTTGCTGATGGACAACTCTTCCGTTTGTGGTGGACTAAGCACTGAGACATTATTCACCCAAAGTCATGTCACTGTATTCACAATCAAATATAAGTCCACTACGAGGCGATCGTTCACAAGGTTGTCACTACAAACGATTCACACGCGGGGTTTGTTTCCGGTGGTAATGTGCGCTGTTAGGTAAAAATGCATTCTTTCTCCTAGAACTTGTGTTCAATCTGTAGTGTACCTTACTTCCAAGGCCGAAAGATGTCTCATTCTTAGGTCGATTCAGCTTAAAGCAATTAACGATAACTAAATTGGAACAACTTTGCCATCTAATGACGTGGTCGCCCAAAGCATTTGCACCAGTTTTTGTTGAAGCTCCTAGAATCTTGCACGAACCGGGCAATGCGTAAATACTCACAGGCTTAAAAGAGCAAATTATCGTCTTGTGACTGTGAGTGGCACGTTTGTTGTCCACACAGTTAGCCCCGTTACAAGCTCCTAATAACTTGGGTTGTTGTTTTACACAACTGCTCAGGAACTACTTAACTGGCATCTATGCATTTCCAGCAACAAACAATAGTAGTTCTGGCAGGAATTTTCTCACGAGTTGAAGCCATGCTAGCAGCTGATCGTTTTGTCCACAATTCCACAATTGAACGCCAACACTCCTTGATCTTCTTTTTTTGGTGAGCAAGCAACTGCTACCCAAACTGAAATGTGCTTCGCGCATCTACTCCTCGCAAGTTACTAGCAACATCTTATCCTAGAGTTAGTCCACAAGATTTTGGATAGCAACTCAGTTTCCAGTTTTTGTTATTTTTTGGTCACCCCTTTTTCATACGCAGGCGGTAATAGCTCGAAAATGTTTCCTTTGCAGTCACTTTGCATGCCTGACGACGAAGTACAACTGTCCATCGGTGCCAGCGGTTCTCTCCGTCTTGTTGGCCAATGTGAATGCCTTCTACGCTCATACCACCTCTTCAAACAGTCAGACGGCAAGCGAACGTTTTAGTGCGAGCAATTTTGGTGTAAGTGAACAATGTGGCTTGCTATCTTTCGCTGAGGCGTTTAAGGAGAGAGCTTGCAATAATTGTCTCGCGTACATTCTGAGCTTCTCATAGTTTGGTATCTTTGCCTATGCAGCTAAGCCTAAATTTTGTCAGGAAGTGTGCTGTTTCTGTTAGTTTTTGAATGTAGACTAGACATCCACAGGCAAGGGGTAAAGATAGGAAGTTTAACCTGCTCGCCGTGGGCCGCTCACTCATCCTTGTATTTTAGTGTGTGCAGTACCAATTCTATCAATAGGAAAGTCATGCATTAATTGTGAACACGACTTATAGTGACAAGAGTTGTATATGCTTTTTAAAAGATTAATTTCCCACAGGGAAATGTCCTTGTCTAGTCACCTCCGTCTTCCCGATACAGATCTTTGTATGAAACGGAAGGCAGTGCGGATATCTAGTTGACTAAGGCAAATTTAGTGTTTGCTTCTCTCAAGAACAGGCCACAATTTGAATGGACTCCCTCAACATTAGAATGTGACTAAATGAACAAGTGGCCGCAGATGGAATATGTACAACCCCTTTGGACGTCGAGTACTGATGTGGAATTCAAGAAATACCACGCAAACCTTCAACTAAGTAGCTGTTTAAAGCTTCTACTAGCTGATTATCACTGCGGATAGGTTATATTAATAAATACGTTCCAGTTAGTTGCAACAAAACAAGTTTTCGACCACTGACCTACTTTTAGGATAAGAGGAGCCGATAGTGTTAGCTTTTTAATTCTGTTTATCCTTGCGTATACCTATAGCCTGAAGCAAATCCACTGAGAAACCCCTGTCCCTCCGTAAGGGATGACTACCTGATGAACTTAGATGCCAAAATGGTTTGTCAAGATCTGCTTTGCTGCAACCAGGGAGCTTTTAAATGGTGGCTGAACCAAAATGTCGTGCGACAAGCATTACACATGTTGCTATTTTCTAGGTTTAAACAGTTTCACATAAATGGACCACCTGGTTACTGCTCAGCTACTAATCTTCATTGGCCGAATTTGATAAAATCAGCTCATTACTTGGCAAGTGTTCATGAAGATGTGACTTCGGACTTATCGATCTCTTCTCCGAAACATTGTATTCCGCCACATGCGTTCATGAAAGTTATCCAGCTAGTTAAACTAAGTTTGGTGCGCCATTAGGGGTTCCATTTCAGCAGTTTCACTATCGCTGTGAGATGATATCCATTAAATTTAGAAATGCTGAGTAACATTGAACTCCTATACAGCTGTTACTTCTGCCACACATGCGTTCATTGTACGTATGGACCAGAGCAGACCATTGTATTTTGAACCGATAATATGGTCAACACGAGAAGCAAACAACTTGTGCATACTATCATGCTACGCAATTTTCAGGTGTATGCTTTCTCACTGGTTTAAAACAGAAACTTTCCCAAAGCAACTGAAAGTCTAGTTTTCTCATGTTCGTTGGTTACAAATGTGCCAGAAATCCACCTGATAACAACTTGATACAAGTGCCTTTGTAAACAGGGGATACATTAGTCGCGGAAGACAACAACTTTGTATTTTTTATTGCGTAGCTTGTTTACTCCTCATCTGGCTTTCTACCTCTTCTCTGTCGTCAGCGCCAGTCTCCGGCATTTTTGTTCGTCTCATGCTCATGCGATGAGCAACGCCTCCAACTTTTGTGCTCCTAACTGGTGTGATTGACGCACACCCTGAAGTTTATAGCCATCGAATTCCGCATAAGCCGAATGAAACCATTTTGTTTATCCATTTGATATTCTGTTTATTCAGTGCTTAGATTCCCATAGCTCTGCACACGGTTCTGGTCCCAATCCATCATGCGTTCGACTTCTCGTGCTTTGTTGTCACAACGCGTTTAACACAACCCACATGATTTACCAAATTGTGTACATTTAACCAAAGGCGCTTGCATTGATCCATCAGCGTTTACTTCCTTGCTTTTGGCCATTGAAAATTATAATGGAAATTGCTACACATCGTTTGCTTTTTACATTCAGAAACAGCACACTCTGGTCTGCATTGAGGACTAGAATTCAACTTACTCAAACAGCGCTCGTTCGGCATACTCATTAAGACTTAGTAGTACAAGCAACTGGTGCGCTTTCACTATTTACTCGCGCTCGTTGCGGGTGAATTTGTCAGTGAAGCACAGTATTTTCAGCCTTACTTCTCTTTGATTATCTTGCAAACCACATCAGACAAGTGTTAGATCCCACAAACCGTGCACTGGGAGGCGCGGGGGATTGTAACGGGCATGGGCATTCCCTCTACGTGTGCGATACTTGCATACTTTATCCCCGCTTGCACCGGCACTCATCACCGGCTCGGTTTGGCAAAGTAGATCTTTAGGGGAGATTGCGAGGCTGAATTTGTGGGGCATTCATCACGCACAATTCTATCAGATATTGCTACAACAGGCTAAATTGGGATTGTCAGCCTCCTTTTCGTGTTCATTTGTCAGCTCAACCAGCACATGTTCTATGTCTAGTATCAGGATTTGGACGAATTCCAAGGGGAGAATTTTGGACGTATATACTGCGGGTCTAGTTCTGTTTGTTCCAACCTAACACCGTTAGTGACCAGTGGCAATGCTGTTTTACACAATTTAAACAATTATCCAAGATAGGAAGCAATGAGGAATGGCAAAACTGTTGAAGTAAGCTGACAACTTCACATTTTGTCTACTTACTAATTAGACGTTCGTTGTAATGCATGCGACTACCATTGAATCCACAGCGATTTAAGAGGTCCAAAGTTAACTTTGTTAGGCAGATAACGGTGATAACCGTTCTATTCGGTTTAATGCTTAATCAGAAGCAGCACTGTGAAGAGCATTGACTAAGCAGAAAGTTGTCATATGTTAAATCTGATACAACCGGTTACGACGAAGTGAACGTCGTGCGCTGGTCTGGTGGAGTGGGTTTTCAAGAAAAATTCCATGGAAGATACCATGCGTTACACGGGTAGGGAGTGGTTAGCGTCAATGACCACTGAGTTACCCGCAACGGTTAGTACTGTAATAGGTGACAATCCTGAAAGCAGTTTTCTCAATCATCTTTGTACACCGGCGTTCGCAACATCTTACAAACAATGCACACTGAATGGGAACATTTGTCTCTGGAATCCACCAACACACTCACTCACAAGCAACCGAACTGCTTTCCTTTCACTTTTCAGCGTGAAAAGTTTATAAAGATTTTGGACAGTCTGTATATCGCAATTCGCATAGACCTCTCCAAATACCGCGTAAGTTCCAATTGGTTACTCGCCGTGTCTCTCCTTTTACGGGTGATTAGCTAAACATGATTTCGTAGCAATTATCATAGTTCATCGGAATTCGGTATCAAGTTGTGTAGCAGAACTTCATTTCCGATGTTGAGGTATGCCACTCTTGGTCACTTTATGGCAAAGGTGAGCGTACAGTGGCTGAACACCATGTACACTATCGAGGCCTTGTCAACATGTCTTCTCGGCTCCTGTGGTGTTAAGTACGGAATAGGCAAACAGCATTTACTGCTCTAACGTTTTCCCTGTTAAGTGAATGCATCAAAAGCTTTCTCTTATCCTACCATGTCAGTCAGCTTGACAACAATATAATTCTCTCAATGTTGCACTGGATGTTCCTCACGAGGTATGTATAAGACACCGACCGAGCCATGTAAATAAAGTTGTAATGTTGTCGAAAATACCAATTTATGCGAGATCGTATCTTTTTCTGCCAGGCCTCCACTCTTTTAATTTTACCTATTTCGTACTTTGCTACTCAGTTGCGGCTTAGTGAACCGTTTGTAAACTACTCTGCCGAACGTTTACCTGAAGGATGCGGCTTTCACCTACAACAAGTGCCATTAGAAATGTTGAGCGTCGTTTTTAGAACAGTAGGAGTGCTTTTTAGTTTTATTATTCTGACTTAGTGCCACTCCAGTCAGTAGGTAAAACACTGACTCAGGGTGTTAGCTCCGATAGATCGATGTGTGTTACAAACCTAATGCGTGTTTGATGAGTTCCCTTTCAATACAGCAAAGAAGAAAGGTCTCGTAGGCATCCATTAGTGTCATTGTTTACATTTCCCATGCAATTCAACCAGTTCTGGTCAAAAAATGGCTAACTACTACCAATATAGTATTGCCATCTACAACGTAGTATCATCACTGACGTGTATATTTACCCAAAGGCTAGCCTTCACCACTGTGTATTCCTCACCCGAGAGGAACGTGACTGTTAGTGATGAACGTTAAAAGCACAGGTTTGTGAATGGACGCTTGGCTATTTTGGTGGAAACAAATGATTGCAATAGGAAGCGTAGAAAAGTGATACTATAGCTGTATGGCCTATTGGCTATCCTTCATAATTCGTCTCCAGATTTCCGTTCCGGAGTCTGAGTCTCCGATTACCGTTAAACATTGGCAGAGTTGTACACGCATCAATATGATGGATTATCATCTATTTACCTACTCAAACCCATGCTGTTTTGGTTTCCTGGATATGGTTTTCAAAGTAAACAGGTTTTTTACCGTACAATGGTATTTGTGACCATGCAGTCCTGCGTATCAGACATTCAAACTGACCATCGCACTTTTCTCTTTGTAGACTGTTTTTCCAGCCTCAAAGCCAGAGCGACTGCTGGACCTGAAATCCACTGTCGATCTGCTGACAAGCATCACATTCTTTCGTCTTAAGGTACATCCTTCGTTTACCTTTTATTTTACACGACAGATAAGTTCGCTAGGTGATATAAGTAAAGTGGATAAGCCACTTATAACAATACGAGGCAGTCTTTTGAACAATAGCAATATTGTCAAGCACGGTACTCTCAGGTAGGCCGAATTGCTGTTAGTCGCGTCAGTTGCGTTTAGACGAACTCTACGGCAGTTTCACCTGTTCCACCTGTTCCACGTAGTGTCTGAGGTGAACACTGCAGCTCACTCTATCCTTTACCTTCTACACTAATTGTCCGTTAAACGAAAAGAGAAACCTTACTATTTGCCTGACACCAATTGTACTGTAGGCCACCTAATAATACAAGCACAACTCTGGGTCACGTTCGTGTGTAAAGCCATGGTGGCCGCGATGTCACCACAGCTGCTATAGCATACTGCTGATGTCGTTGCGATGTTCAGTAATTAACAGAGATAAAAGATTCAGCTCCACTGTTTATAAAGTGGTTGTTGATTAAACCAGAGGTTTGGCGATTCAACTACATTCACGCCTACTACTTATTAGAGGTTATTTTCAAAGGATCGAGCGCACAGCACTCTTCCTCCGTACTACAAACTCGCGGGAATAAGCAATTAAAATCCAGTTTAAATAAGTACATGGAAGCTGTATGTTTTTGTTGCCTAGATGGAACGTAGATTGGAAGTTGAATGGTATAGGTAGAAATTCATCACATCTAGACTCAATCACACAACCATTCCCCGCCCGGAAAAGCATTGTACGGCCGTTTCAGCTTTTCGGGAATCGTCAGCAGTGCGCACTTCATCTGAACCTTGTACGGCTCGGAACTGCAACCTGACATTTACCAGCCTGTGGTGAGACCACTGAGCTACGAGGGACGGCAACGATCGTCTTGACTAAGTTACTAGATGTGATATAGCACCGCACATTATCCACTGCCCTACTACCTCCTTGTAATTCAAGCATAGAGCGTTTCCTTAGGTCCGTGGGATATGTGCGTCCTGCAGTGCGCATATCGTCTGCCCTGCGACCAAAGCATGACACATCCATTGCGGCTTAGGTGTTTGGTCAATATTCGGTGTTCAGCCGACCGGCCAAGATTCCGTTGGTCTCCACCGCGATCGCAGACATACAAGTCCCGCCTCTGTGTCCCAAACATACATCTGCTATCCAGTTGCGCCGGCACTTTGGTCTAATCCATATTCGCTATTGGACGTTTGGGAATTCAGCGTGCCGCGGCACGTAAGTACGCGAGTGCGGCCGTTCCAAGTTCGGGACGTGATTTCCAATACACCCTGTAGTACATTTTTCCTCTGCAGAAGACCAGTAGCGCCATCATAACTGCGTGCTTTCATTTGTGTCTTCTGAAGTTTGCTTTCAGATGATTAGATTATCTACGGTTGAAAAGTGTTGTGATAAGAAGTTTGTTTTTTGTCGCCGGGATTCAATATAAGGAGGCTAGAGCACTTCTTTTGTGTCATCATGAGCTCTCACATCACAGTGCGTTCTGGATTTTCCTGTGCAATATAACAGTAAAATTCGAGCGGCGGGTGAGCAAACCGCAAGTCTTAAAGCCTGTGGTCCAAAACTTAATTTCAGGTTGCTCGCTTAAATGCATGGCTGCAAGTGCTCATTAAACACAATTGCACCTTTGTTTTCATTCAGCCATCTTGCACTTTTGCAAAGGATCTATTTCTTCCTTACTCACAGGTGCAGGAACTCACATCACCACCAAGGACGGGACAGATTTTACGTGAATGCATTGCCGCGTGTATTCATGCCACGTATCAGTGCTTATGTGAGAACGTCCACGAACTCTATGGAAAAAGTATTCAGGTAGTTATACATTAGAAGTTTGTATATGCCACACAATGAATCGTGCATCTATCTTTCAGTCACACCGAGGAGTAAAGTTGCGAGCTTACTGAAAATTGGTTGAAGTCGTGGTTGACTGGGTAATGTGCCGTGAGTTTTATGGAGACTATAAGCCCAAACTTGGTGCTTTAACAAGTATGATTCCAAGCATCGCAGCTCCGTTGGGACAAGAGGGAAACTAAGGTGTGATACAACAACAGCCAACTGCAACGCATGTGAGAGGGTTTTTAGGTCTAACGTACACGTATTCGCTTTGTACCACAAATCATTTTGATGTGGCAAAGGTAGTGACTACACAAGCGAAGGTTGGAGTGTATTATTTATGGAGCTAATATCACTCGCCTCTGACTGTATTACAACACGCGACGTTAAGTCAAACGCCAACTTACTGTACAATTAATCGCAGTTATTTCCGATCACTAGGATTGCATCTGACGTTGCCATACCCAGAGTCTCATGTCCCCAACGCGTAAACCCTCAGCCGGCTGAGTAGTTGCCTGGAATCTTTAAGTAGAGACATGAGGCTTTGAACTCAAATGTAGGACGCGTGGGGTTTGAAGACATGCGAAGTACCCACAAGCAATACCAACCACAACGATTAAGAATAGCGAGTCAACTAGATTAGTGCCTGAATCCTGTGGTCGTCTGCGAAGAAACACATCTCGGGCTCCAGTCCCAAGCAACCTATCTCTACCTGAGTGACCCGTGAAACGGTGAAGTCGGTTGTTAACTGCATTGCTTGGTGCTGGCGAAGTTCATATTTCAACTACGGCTGTAGTAACTGAAGCAACCGTGGTTTACAGTTATAAATGGTGGCTGCAATTGAGCCTGAATTTGCCAGCCAAAATGGCTTTCAGTGTTTCAAAGCACAACGTGTTTGTCGGATGACTGTAACAGACCTCGCTTATGGTGCTGTGTAAAACTGTGGTTATGGTGTCTAACTACGTCCATCACATCTCGGGAGCCACTCCCATCGCCGATTACTGCTACCGAAGAATTAAACACAAAAAGGAAACTGATGACTATGTGCAGGTTTCAGAGCAAGAAAAGCTAAACGCACAGCAATCTCGAGCTGATTAATTTTTCTTTTCAGTCGCATCTGTGGTCCACGAAAAAGGGCGATGAAGTTGACACTGATTTCTCACGCGCGGCCATCTCAGAACCAGTTGGACATGTATAACATTAGTCATGGACGGTACGATAATTTCAGATCTATTTTTGTCTGTTGTCTCCATCGGACTTGTGTTTTGATTGCACTGCTACAAACGAGCATCTTTGAGGGCCTTTATCTGAATCAGCCTGATAAACTGGGATGAGGCACGCTCATCCTCATTGTACGGATCCTGTGGTAGGGAGACCGCCAATGCCGGAAACCACAGCTGCACTTCCTGTCCTCACAACGACCCTCTAGAAGAATTCCCCTTGCTGAGGTCGCCACTTCAAATGCCCGCACCAAGCAGTACACATAGGTATCCGATGCAAACTTGTAGTACCTCATCTGAGGAATGAAACCCACTTGCTATGTTTCAAACGTCGAGTGGTGAACTATTGGAATAGGTTGCCAAGACGTAGGCGGGGAAAGATCAATGTCAGATTTCGAGGAATTCCTAGACACCCACTTTAAGGAACACAAGTTTCCAGAGCGCATCGCATCTGAATAGGACATTGCACAAATAAAATATATTGACACTGTGCGGTATTCTATTTAGGTTTTGCGTTCTTAAGATAGAAAATCCCGCATCCATTAAGTATCCCCTCTAATCATTAGGATGTAAATAACGTGCGCTTGACCTTATATTTTAACTTTTTATCGGCTTTGTCTATGTAGATCCAATTCTCCCCTCAATTGCGGCAGACAACCAATGTGCAGTTCTTGCCTATATAAGACTCTTGGACCTAGAAAAGTATCTGGTCGCAAAGGAAAGCACTTCCGAATTCCGCAATTGAACTACCAGACTATCTTAGTTACCACAGTGCCAGTGCAAGATGATTAACACCTTTGTTGAGGTCGCCTCTGCGCTTATTCTAGGCACTATTTATCATTTTTGACCTAAGCGTCAGAGACGTGACACCTCACGGTTTTGGTAGAAAGCACCAGTAAGTTACGAGGGCTTTCTGCAGCGCCTACAATTTCGTGATTGTGATTTCGCGTGAATGCACCAAGCTCCGCAACTGAATTGCACAGCGACTGAAGAGAAAGTTTATGACTGGGTACAACTCTGTCACTCTAATTTCACCGCACAGTGTTGCAGTAGATACCCAGTAACCCATGTTCACACGTCTGTGATAGATGGGATAGCTTCAAACATGGGGATAATAAAGACTACGATCCAATCTTTCTCCAGATACATGAAACGCGTTTTTACTTTGTGATTTTTATTGGAATCCATAAAACTCAGTTTTGGCTCACAGTAAGTTCCCTTATTTAATCATTGATTTAAGTCCATTTCCAATTGATTGACACAAACTGCGCTCGCTATGTTCTATTTGGGAACGATGGTTGACTATATTTAGAAATGAGGATTCGCTTTCATACTATGAGACGCAGTATGGACACTTTATCTACCTGAAGCAATCCAGATGTTTTTGACAGTGTCCAATGGAGATTGCTTTGGATAAGTGCAGTGTGATATCTTGAGGACTAAAGGTTATTTTGCTCTTTCAACTTTCAGCACGGGAAAACTTGACAGAAAATAACTGACCATATATGTGGGCGGTATAGTTTGTGTGCAACCCTAACTGCATTCCCCCTAGGCGTTAGCAACTCCTAATTCTCCGCCTTTTTTCCAGTCGCCAGTTGTTTGCTGAGCTGGGAGCTTTGGGGAGCATAGACTATGATTATATTCGACTGCCCAAGGTGGCTGTACAAAAAACCGTGACGCTCTTCATACCAGAGACATTTTTTGACTTACTAATTTCAGAATCATAGCTATGTCTAGTTCCAAAAATTATTGATGCGTACATCATATGCTACTTACCTAAAATGAGTTACAGTTAGTAGTGATTTCCTGACACGATTGGAAAGCGGAAGGAGCTCTCAATGTTCCTGATTTTCACATACATTCCAAGATCCAGGCGCTTCTTGTTCACCATACACTTACTTCCATGGTGGTTTCATGCCACTATGGTCTCGTGATGTACAGGTACAATGAAGTTACAGGGCACTGTTATGGTGTAATGTCTATTGCTAATGAGGAGTACATCTCCATTGCTTTAGGCATTGTGTTGATGTTTTAAAGTGAAAAAGCGAGGCGATGGCTGTATGATTCCGTAAATATTCGCTAGCTGAACAGTTCTGTGGCACACGCTCATATGCTTTGAGGGTGTTTGTTTTCCATTTGGCCAATTGGATGTGCTTGTGCAGATTTGGTCACCAAGTTCATTTTTTCGTCATCCCTAAATTCATGTCCAATTAAGTTTGATCATTATAAGTACCTCGATAGTTCTATCTTCCATTTGATGCCAAAGGTTATGGGAAACGGATGCCATGGTTAGGACTCCAACTGAAGATATCCAGAGTGACTGCGTGTGCTGCTTTATTGATACTTAAAGTGATAACCAGATGGTCACTGTTATCAGACAACCTACTTATACAGTGGGCTACGGCATGTTAATATGGTTATTAACTGTACCTAGGAACGTAGTGAATCCTAAAGCTACTAGGGCATAGTGTAGGATGATGCTGCCACTTTGAGACGTTAATTATAAGGAAGGGGAAATTATTCTGAGAAAAAGTCATCTAGATAACAAACCTGCACTTCAAAGCAAAACGGGGCCTTCAAATTTGGTCGTGCTGTACCATTCCCCTCTCTCTTTGGAGTTTAGCAACACACACGTTCACAAATTTTACATTTTGCTCTATCGTTTCTTGATTTAATTCATCACTCGTCTCGCGATGCAAATCTACGCACGCAATATTTTAAAATCGCTTTGTTTTTCTACGCTCGTAACTCGTGCATTTTCGAACCGTTGTGTCATCAGAAACAAACTGAAACGAATTCATAAGGAGTGTAACAATACTGCTAGGAAACATCGTTCTGGATGCAGAATTGCTCTTCGAAAGAATAAGTTGAGAGGCATGAGCATCCCAGTATTGCTTAGCACCAACATCCGCTCACTCATGGGGAAAGTAAATGAACGATCAAATATTGTTTTCCCAAGAGAGCTTTCTTAGCTTGGAGTCATTATGTTGTAAGAAACCTGACTCCATGAAGAAGTGGATGATGCAGTCGTATCCGTTGGAGAATTTATTTGCCATCTTGTTGACCGCCCATGCACGTACTGAAACCGAGGTGATGGAATACTTATTTACACCAATCCGCCTTGGTGTATAGCAACAAAACGTGTTTTTTGCTTCGCTTCACAGTTTCTCAATTGTTTTGTCATGCAATGTAAGCCGAGGTGTTTGAATGAGTACGGCCTAATATTGTTGCCTTACATCTAGATATCTTTCACCTATCCCAAACCTGAAGCTAATAATCGTTATGATGAATTTACTGTCATAGAAAACATCGATCGTACCCTGTGCATCTTCGGTGGAGATTTAAATAAATGTGACACTACATTTCTCACCGCTCTCGGGTTGCGAAACATCGTCAATCTGTCCACCAGGTTAAATGCAACCTTGGACCTGGTGTTTTTTAGTAAGGTGAAATGGTTCTCCGTATGTACTCAGGCTCCAATCGACAACTCTGATCACACAATTATCAAGATTTCACCTGTCATCTATAGCAAGATCAATCAACAACTAATCACTCGATGCAATGATCGAAGGGTCAGGTGGAGATAGTGCTCTCCACAAAATCTCGACGGATTTCGCGAAATGATCGCATCGACGGAATTTAGTTTTTTCTTTGACCCTGATGTATCCAGGTATTGTGATAATTTGACAAGCTATTTAAACTTCGTTTTGATATCTGTTGCCCATTGGAAACTGTTTACGTCCGCGCTGACAATTTTTT